CTCTCTCTCTATATATATATATATATATATATATATACATACATACACATATACATGCACTGATCACCTCCTTGATATTGTTTGACTATATACACACACACACAGATACATGTACGCATATATACGGAAACACAAGAAGCAGAACTGCAGCCGGTTACACAGGCATGGTGGGATATATTTATAGGATTCGATATCGACGAATACTAACTAATATATATATATATATATATGTATATGTTACTTGTACGTATATGTCTTAATACAAACTTGATAATTATATATAGGGAGATCTGTATAAGAATCCAACAAAGAATCTTTGACTTGATGCTCATTGACTTCCCTCTTCCCTCTCTACCCTGGCAAACTCACCGATACATACATCACAAAAAGACATGCAGACGTTTTGACACGAGAGAGAGCCAAAGAATTTAAATTAATTATAATTAATTACGTGTTTGTATAGATGTCACGTATAGATACATGTACGTTTATATATATATATATATGATAATATATGGAAAAATAGTGTATATAACTAAGCAGACCACCGGTGATTTTGTCGATTTTGGTGTACTTCCATGGCTGTCTTCTTTTTTGTTTATGTTTTTCACTTGGCTCAAGAACTGCACAGCTTTGCTTCTTGAACTTGCTAATCACACACACACACACACACATATATATATATATCTGCATGTATATATATATATATATATATATGTATGATTTAGTTTCTTTTTTTTTTTTTTTGGTTTGGGTGATGCAAGAGTCAATTGGGTGGGATCTTTCGATTTGCTCTTCCTCTAATCGGGTGCTTTTTCTTGATAATTACAAATTATAAATATTTAAAATATAAAAAATAGATTGAGATTTAAGTATTTAAAACAAAGTAAATTAAATTCTATATTTTTCCTTCGATTAAAATTATATTATTTGTTTCGGAATTTGAATATCTATGAAAAAAAAAGAATGTGTTAAAATATATATAAAAAAAATATTTTTCATCACTATCTTTTAAATACACAACTAATAAAAGTCTTACTTAAACATTTCTAAATTTAGTTCGGTGAGAATTGCGTTAAAAAAAAAAAAAAACGAGGTTTGTGGTTCTCTTCTTAAAAACTTTCACGTTTAAAATGAAAACGAAGAAAATCGAAATGATTAAAAAGAAAAACAGTGGTTTTGATATATCAATTAAGACATTTCTCGGTAGATAATGATTTATTACTAATAATTATGTCATTTTTTATCAGTTAAATAGATCATATGATGGCACCGAACATGAAATATAACTTGAAATTTAATAAAATAAAAAAGATAATTATTATAAAAATTAAAGAGATCACTGATCGAATCAAAAAATACTCATATAATATTCTATCAATCTAAAGTAACAGTTTAT